TTCCACCGTGGAGCTCAGCAGCAGAAATATTTATCACCCGACTACTTAATTATTCCAAGCAAAACACTCCTACAGTTTTTAGGAAAATGTTCTTGGACATTGAAAATCAATGGTTTTCGAAAGGCTGGAAATTCATATATACAGACGGCTCCAAAGATAAGGAAAACACCTCGTTCGCGGTTGTTTCGGATAATGGGGAACTTATTAATATAGTACTCCCTTTTTCATTTAGCTCGATTTTGACTGCGGAAATGCTTGCAATACGCTTTGCGACTAACTACACTTCTACCGCCAAAGGAAAATACATTATTTGCACGGACAGTAAAGCCTCAATTAACGCGCTACAAAATTCAAGCAATAAAGAACCCTTGATTGAAGTGGTGCGCACCAAACTCAATAAATTCAAAACAAAAATTAAATTAATCTGGGTTCCAGGACATTGTGGTGTACTTGGCAACGAACGTGCAGATCTAGCAGCAAAAAATGTCAGTACCTCTCCATGCATCTATAACAACATCACCGTAAAAGCGGATATTTCACGTTATTTGAAGTTACACATCGCAAAAGAAATGGATGATAATTGGTCCAAGTATCAGCATGCATACACTGCCATCAACCCAGATCGCAGAAAGTCTATCCTCCCGTCAGGAATTTCAGCTCAGCAATCAAAAATATATACAAGGTGTCGACTGGGGCAAAGCAAAGCACCTCACGAATATCTGCTATTGGGGAAACCTCGTCCAAGCTGCTCGAGGTGCCATTGTACACTGTCCATAAATCATATACTGGATTATTGTCCAAAATTCTCAAATGCCAGAAAAAATATTTTTCAAAATGACAAACCTTCAGGCTTACTTAAAAAATCCACATTGGAAAATATAAAAAAATACACGATTTTATTTATCAAACAAAACTTTTATACCAAATTTAACTATCGTATGTATATATATCATATAATATTTTCGTTCTAAAGATACCTTATAGATATTTATAAAATCTGTTAGAATAAGCTCAGGCCGATAGCCTCAGTAGCTAGTGCCTTTTTGTGTAATATAATTATTTATAGTCATGATACAAAAAAGAAGGTAGTTTCATTTAATGACATTCGTTGTTGTTGTTAACCATTTGACTTTTAATAAAATTATGACATTTCATCAAATTCATGCTACCTGATCACTAGAAGAAATATTTTTTTTTTAAGCAGAAGATTTTATCAGTACATTCAAAGATGTGGACTATGATGAACTAGAAAATTATGCCGGCGACATGATTTCGAAAATGGGGTTGACGACTAGGTTTCAGAAAGTATGAAGAAAGTGTATACTTACATATCGTCGCTTAAAGTACAAAACCGCGTATCCTCGTTCTGCAAAACCGCGTAACTGACATTTTTTTGCCAAAAATTGGATTTGCTCACACAAGCTCTTGGCTCAAGCCTGATCCATTCGTCCTGAAATGCGATTTCTTTGTAAAAAATAGAGAACCATTTTGAAATATGAGTGTTTTTACTCTCTACAAAATAATTTATGCAACCTCACATACGCAGTTGTGCATTTTGTTGCTACACGGTTTTGTACTTTAAGCGACGATCTGTTAGTTGTTTATCGGAAGGCGGTCTGTTCAAGCCGACTTCAGGTGTTTTGCATAAATTAAAAATTTGTTAAATTTAATGATGATGCGCTAATCACAAAGCCTAATTTTTTGCAAAATCTTATGAGAAATTTAAAAGTAAATTTGAACCGAAATATAAAAATTTTCATTGGGGAAGAACATTTTTTAGAATTCGATTTTTAAATCGCAAGATTGCATTCAAAATAAGAAAACAAAAAAATAACAGAATAATGAGCGCGTGGTTTTTATTACAACATGAAAAGAACAATTACGATGAAGTCTCCTTTAACAGTTTACATTTTAAATATTTTTAATAAAAATAAGGTGCCAAACACGTAAGTAAAAAAAGTACCAAGAACTGATAATTGTTTTTGATTTGAAATGTTATTACATTGGTATAAATATGGGAAAGAAAATACCCCGATTTATTGTTTTAATATTATCAAAGTGGCAAGGCCGTTGAGTATACTCACAATTTATGAAACTTCAAAAAATTTTATTATCCGTCAAAAGTTGTTTATTGAAACTACCTTCTTTTTTGTATCATGATTTATAGTTATATTTCATTTCAAATAAATATTACAACATTCTATACAGTGGAGCATATGTATATGGGAAAATCTTTTGAGACGGGGACTTTTCAATAAAAAAAAATTTTTTTCAACATAGCACATTTATTATAACCCGCGTAACTCATATGTTTTAAATGCTACACTATTTAAACCATATTTTCAGAATGGTTTTCTATTAGCCGGGTCAAGTTAGATTTTCAAGGTTTTAGTAACTCGCATAAAGCTGAAAATTGGTGCGAATGTTACGAACGTCATTATAAATGAAATGTGAAAAGTCCTTATCGATCCCAGATCTATAAAAAAAATTATTTAAGGTCAAAAGTGACATAAATTGATGTTTACGATTTTTCAGTTAACCGTAAGATTTATCATAAAAATAGGTTAGATAAAAGTGTAGATCATGCAATTTTCTCTAAAACCCGTTATGACACTTTTTCCTAAGAGTCACCATTTCTGGGATATAACGCCTCGATCGACATCCATAAAAAATTTAGTCTGTATGGGAACTGTCTTTCCAAGAACCCAGATCTTTTACGTGAGTATAGTATTGAGTACTGACCATTAAACTAGTTTTTAGAGGTGAGCATTTTATACACAGACCCAAATACACAAACACAATATTACACCAGGGCTTATGAA